CCCTAAGTTGAGATTTTTAGACATAGGGTCTCCATTCCCTAGTCGCCTTTTTGCCGACATTAGAGCTCTAATCCCTAAGTTGAGATTTTTAGACATAGGGCCTCCATTCCCTAGTCGCCTTTTGTCAACATTAGGGCTCCAATCCCTGAGTTGAGATTTTTATACGTAGGGCCTCCATTCCCTAGTCGCCTTTCTTTTCCAATATTAGGGCTCCAATCCCTGAGTTGAGATTTTTAGACATAGGGCCTCCATTCCCTAGTCGCCTTTTTGCCAACATAGGGTATCCACTCCCTAGTCGAGGTTATTTTAGATATAGGGCTCCATTCCCTAATCTCTTCCTCCTAAAGACACGCAATCCTTATTTTACCACTTTCAAAACAAAACAAAAAAGTTTAGATTTTAGTTACAAATAACTTACAAAATTTTCCTAGTGAAAACTGGGGCAGAAAAATTTCGTTCGTTTGTTTGTTTTGGTGTCTGAGCAGGTTTGGCCTCGAGGCACAAGGTCTGAGACAACTAAAAGAATGAGTCTCAATCCAAAATAAAGAAAAGAAGAAAATGAGCAAAAAGAAATGAACTCAAAGTGTTGATGTGGAGAAAGATGTGGACTGTTCAAGATATGATTGAAGTCACAAGCTTCGCATGTCCCGCCTTGATCCGAAAAGCTGAAGAAGAATGAACCAACAGTTGCAGCTAACGAGCATCAAGATTCAGATCAGAGTCTGCAGGAAGAACCAGTCAAGATCAAGGACAAGTTTCACAAGACTCATAGATAGGAATCTTGTAACTCATAGCTGATAGGCTTGTTTAGTTTCTCTTTGATTTTTGATATAATAACAGGATCGCGGACCGGAGCCTCGACGGAACCTCACTCGACTCCTCAACTCATCATTCCATCATTTTTCTTGAACTACACGCGACCTGATTCCCTTATAACCCGGGATATGTAGGTTGTCCAAAACCAAGACTCGGTTGCACCCTTTCTCTTTTCTCTTATCCTTATTTCTTCTATTTTGAATAAAGATATGTTCAAAAATTAGTCACATGGATCACCTTATTTTTGCTTGAAAACTCTTCATGTTTCTAAGCAAAGAGGGGCAACTGTGAGCACCTAATTTTTGACAATATTTAATTTTTTTGTCACTTTTTCTATGTAAATATTTTAGGGGGTTTTAACATACAAATTTTTAGCTTTGTTATACTTTTTATTATAGGTTAAAAATACAAATTTTAGAAGGTGAATTATTACTATTACTATTATTTTATTTTTAGTCTTATTTTTAAATAATAATAAAAAATCCGAAAAATATTAATTTTTTTTTAAAATTTTCGGGAGAGATTTAAAAAAATAAGAAAAAAGGAAGTATGGAATTAAAAAAAAAAAGAAGTAAAAGTAGGTGGAATTCTCTTTTAAAAATGTAAAAGAAAGTGAAAAATTTAAAAAATAAAAGTAAAGTTTTGTGGAAATTTTTAAAAATAAAAAGTAAAAGAAAGTTGGAATTAAAAAATAATATAAAGGTAGCTGAAAATTTTAAAAAATTTAAATTAAAATAAAGTAGAATTTTTTAAAGAAAAGTAAAAGAAAGTGGATTGTTTTTTTAAGAAAAGTAAAATAAGTGGAATTCTCTTTTAAAAAAGTAAAAAAAGTGGGATTTTAAATAAGATAAAAGTAATTAAAGTTAGAATTTAAAAAATAAAAGTAAAGAAAGGTGGTAATTCTTTTTATAAAAAAAGAAAAGCAAAATGTAAGTGGGATTTCTTTTAAATAAAAAATTAAAAAATTAAAAAAAATCTAATTTTTTTTTTAAAATTCTCCTATAAATAGAAGAGAAATATTTGAAGAAAAGGAGAGAAGGAAGAGGGAAGAATATTGAGAGAAAACAAATTTTCTTCTTCTATGCTAAAGAGAATTTCTACTAGTTTTATTCTTTCTACCTATTTCTTTCAACAACAAAAAAAAAACATATAGCCATTCATTACCTTGTTTAAAAAAAAATACCTCAAAAACAGGGGCTAAATCACACCAAAAATCAAATCCAAAAGCTTCAAACTCAATTTAAAAGATAGCCCAAAATACTAGCCCGAAGAGGTCGAAGTTGAGTTCGGTTCGAAAGGTTTCCGCTCATTGCCTCTGATTGTGGTTCATTTGCACATTAAATTTGATGGTTGTTTGCTCCATATGTATTGAGTAAGATCTTCATCGATAAAAGGTTCATTCTTTTATTAACCAATGTTTCCATTATTTTTCTTTCACCGTATTTCCTTTTGATTTGTATATTATATTTTGGTTATCTACCAACTTGAAAGATATGAACAAAAAAAATGAAGGAAGAGCATCAAGAAATAGAATTCGTGAAAGACAGAATGAGTTTCTTCAATGAGATTGTAGTTCATAGGGAAAGATAGGAAAATGTATTCAAAATGGAGAGAGAACGATGTAATAGCTTGGATCCAAATTAAAGGATGTTAAGTCAATAGCAAATTTGATACCGACATGGGTGATTAGGTCCATAATAACTCAAATCATATATTTCTTCAATAATAATTCCATATTCATAAATCATGACCTTGCAATAATCTCAAAGTAGTTTTAGGAAGAAACATAATCATGAATATTTGTAGTTTGCTTTAAATTGAATACAATCCTTTTAGAATAATCGAGGCGCGTCATGCCAAATAAAATCTCAAAACTCATGGCCCTCATTTAATTAATTTTAATCCTTAGAAATCGAGGCGTGCCATTTAGTTGAATTTTCCATGGCCCTCGCAAACTTGAAAGTGCGTAGTTGCTTTAGGCGCGCTATTTTTTTTTAAAAAAAAATTAATTTCCTAAACTCGGGTGTGCATTTTATGTGACCCAAATCCAAATCTCAACAACGTTAGATAAAATGTGTCGTGGACCGCGGGTGCATTTCATGTGACGTGGTTCAATACGTGTTTTATATGACGTTGAATTTTTCCAAAAAAAATAATTTAATTAAAAGCGGCTAATAAGTTAAAATATACCATAGGCTGAAACATGTTTTAAAAATCAGATAATAGGCCAATTGTAATAGTTTAAGCGACCGTGCTAGAACCACGGAATTCGGGAATGCCTAACACCTTCTCCCGGGTTAACAGAATTCCCTACTCAGAATTTCTGGTTCGCAGACTTCAAAAGGAAAGTCGAAATTTCCTCGATTTGGGATTTAAAATAAATCGGTGACTTGGGACACCAAATAAACTATCCCAAGTGGCGACTCTGAATTGAATAATTAATCTCATTTCAAATAATGTCACTTAAATTGGAAAAACTCCCTTATATACCTTCGGGTGGTTTGCCAATGATATACATAAATGAGTTCAGTTGCATATCGCACTTGGCACACAATATGATGTAATCTCGAGCAAATACAAGAAAGTTTATAGCAGTCGATATCGAGGTCAGTATAGACTCAGCTAACTTCTGTAGACAAGTACAGATTAGTAGGATAGTGGGGGGATTGGATAAGATAACAGTGATCCACAATACATCTCCAACTATACAGAAGCAACTATATCCTTGGCTCAACAAATATCATTTCGTGAGTGGATTGCTATTTAGAATGAAGAAGTATGTTTTGGGAGATGGACATAATAAATCAAGAAACAAACTCATAATGTTTGCATAGTTCCATGTTGACAGAGAAGGTGATATGCCACATTGAAAACAAGACCCGTCACAGCCAAGAGCTAACTCTATCGATCAGTAGGTCACAGACATTTTACATGGAACAACCTGCTAATTATACATGTGAATGCATCTAGCCAACAAAATTTGTTACATATAGGAAACATTTACAATGACAACCAAATACAAGTTTATTCTCTTGGAGTCACCTTCCACGTGGCGACTTGTGATAGGCCTGTAATGGAGAGGCAGAGGGTGTCATGCTGAGTGATGAACGATGTCTAAATGGAGAAACTGGAACAGAGCTGGAAGTGGTTCGATGCTCAATCCGAGAGACTTTGGTAGCACCTTTCGGTGCTTGAAGCTCTTCAAGAGAAGCCAACACCTCAGACATACGTGGCCTTAGCTTCGGCTCATTGCTTAGACATTGCCAAGCAAGGTTAGCAGCTGTATATGCTCCTTTCTGAGGATACTGGCCCCCTAGTTTGGTGTCCATAATTCGAAACAACTTCCTCTTGTCCCCTAGATATGGCTTTGCCCAATCCACAAGATTTTGCTCTACACCAACCTTTGTTTTATCAAGAGCACGACGTCCTGATAATAGTTCAAGCAATACAACCCCGAAGCTATATACATCACTTCTTGAAGTCAATCGACCTAGCGGACAGCAAGTATAAATCATAACCAACAATATCAAGAACAGAATTCCAGCAATCAGATTTATTTAAGAATATTAATCATCATGCTTAGTCCTGCAAAGTGACTATATAACGTTATGCTCACTTGTGATAGGAAATCAATCCTTCTATTCTCTGTGAATATGGAGCATTCTAATAACTTGTCAAGGACTAGTAAAATTGGGGACTAACGACATTCCTAGTACTTCCACACAAAAAAGGTTTACAATATATGTCCAACAATATTACCTTTTCTCAATATTCAAGTTGAAAATGGCATAACAAAGGGAGGATAGCATTTTTTTTCCTCACTAAGTTGTGAGGGACACCTAACTGGCAAAACATGACCATCATTGAATTTGTAGAAGTTGCCAAAAACATGTAGATTAAAAGTTCCAGAATCACTGCTTTTTCAACGTTTTGGACAAAAGTTCCTGTAAAATTTTCTCTCTCTCAAGGACAATAAAATTGTAATGTTCTCATGTTCTATATAGCTAAGAAATTAGCAAAAATATTAACCTGTAGCAACATATTCTGGAGCAGCATAGCCCTGTGTACCAATCACTTGAGTGGATACATGAGTGCGATCACCAGTTGGGCCTGCCTTGGCCAAACCAAAATCAGACAACTTTGCATTAAATTCCTGCAATCACAGAACACAGAAAGATATTAAGCTTTTACTAGTTCTGAACACACCTAACACAGTTAATTTTAAACAAAGGCAACTGGATTTATGAGCTCATCTCAAAGCTTAATGCCTACCGCATCTAGAAGAATATTAGAAGCCTTAAAATCCCGATATATAACTTGTTCTTTAGCGTCATGTAAGAAAGCAAGGCCTCTCGCAGCACCAATAGCCACCTTAATTCTTGTTGACCAAGTCAGAGGCTGAGGCCCTCCTGTTGAACAAGATTCCAAGAATTACCACCAACTCATATATCCACATATAATACAAGTTTTCACATGGATATTCAATATTATCCATTTCATGCAAGAGCTGTAACTTACACCACATGGATTGAACCAACAATCATCACAGAGTTAACCAAGTTTCCTCAACACTGTTTGATTACTTATATCACAAAGAAGACCAACAAAAGGATTCACTGGAAAGAAATAATGGAGCCAATTTAACATAATCAAAATACGGTTTGAGGCAATTTCCCTGTAATGTCACCACTTTAAAGAGTTGGAATACATAAAGTGTCCTAGACATGGAATTAGATATTTAGTTTTCTTTTAGTTTATGGTTTCTTACTTTTGCCTCTCATTTGATTAATAGCAAACAGCTCCTACGACCCTAAAACAGGCAGCAGTAGATAAAAACAGTTTCATGTATTCAGAAGGACCAAATCTTAATCTTGTGAGGGAAAAGGTTACAGCTCTTTCTATACTAATTCAGAAGCCTTCGTATAACGAATTTATGATATATGAAACAATCCTGAGCTTTCGAAAGAAAATTAATCAAACACAACGAACCTACATTTGTTAATCTTGTCCAAGAGAACTTCTCCCTCCACCCAGGACTACGGCAAAATAAATTAAGGAAAAAACAAGAAAACTGGCAGCAAAGGATCGATTTAGTGAAAAGGGAGATCCAGCAATAAGGTAGTAAAGAGAGATCAACATACTTGAAACTGCTGTAGCACGGAAAACTCAAAGAAATGGAAGGGAGAATGCTTAGGTAGTGAGCAGACATACTTCTAAATAAATGGTTCTCCAAGCTTCCTTTAGGCATGAACTCATACACCAATAGTCGGTCGTCTCCCTCTATACAATACCCAATGAGTTTAACCAGGTTTGGATGACGAAGTTGCCCAAGGTAATTAACTTCAGTCTGCAAGGCATTTGCCGTCAATTACTAGGCCAACAAGAGTACTAAGTTATTTAAATTGGAAATCTGCAGAGGAAACATACCACCCACTCCTTGTGACCCTGAAAACCCTCTGGCTTCAGCTTCTTGACCGCAATGACCATTCCAGAACCAGGCTTTGCAGCAGTAAAAGTGTGTTCATCAATCCATCCTTTGAAAACATAACCAAAACCTCCTTCGCCAAGAAGACTGTCAGGTCTAAAGTTCCTTGTTGCATTTTTCAAATCATTAAATGAGAAGGACTTAACATTGGGGGAAAACAAAATTTCGCCTTCAGATCTTGGAGTAGAAAGTGTATCAACACTGCTTTTCCGACTATAAGATGGAATACTTAGACTTGATAAAACAGAGGAATTGCTGGTTCTGCTGGGAATCCTAGAGGCTCCAGAAGCTGCAAGATAGAATAGCAGAAAATAGCATTGCTGAGTCACATGTGGTAACAATCTAATCGTGATTTAACCCAGAAAAGCCTCAAACTTGTAACCAGAAGAAAGTACACTCATAAAAGTATATAGATTGGACAAAAGGTGCGCTTGCCAACAGTTACACAATAATCAACTGAAGCTAGTTTATGTAATTTATCAACAAGCATCTTGTCTATATAGTAGTAAAATGTCATACGTGTAACAAAAATTAGCAACTGGAACAAAGATTCCCATATAACTATCTCTTGATAAGTGATATTCATATAACTGTAAAGATTGAGAAAACAATTTGCCTGGCCGCAGTTATGTGTTCATCAACAAAGATACTATGACTAACATATAAAGTCACATATATTCACGGCAATCAAATGTAACACGGGCAAATGCAAAAGTCAGAGAATCACCCATTCCATAAAGGTGAAAAGCTAATCATCTGTAACCTTAAAAAAGAATCATCTTATTCCACAAGCATCTACATATGCAGCATAGCCCATTTCTGATAGTTAAAAGTTTCCAAGTTAAGGGCTTTCAATTGGCATTGATCAACTTAAGCTGCAAATGTGAATTCTCCCTTTCCTTTAAGCTTTCATCTTTGACAATTGCCGACCATCTCCTTGTAAATTCAGTCAAGTCCTTAAGTTTTATTCTAAAAGATTCACCTGAACTTGTCATTCACAATCTCAACTGAGACTTTCTTGTAGCAACAAAAACTGCAGTATAATCTCCCTTTCCATATGCTATGGTAGTACATGGGACGACAGACCAGAGAATTCGTCATCATATCAGTTTCAGTTAACATTCAAAGCTACAAGTACTTTATTTTAACTTGACATAACCTAGAAAAAGCACCCAGCTTTAATGATTGGCAATATTATCGCAATCTTGCAGGTAAGAACTCGTTATAAAGCCTCATTGTTCACCTCAAGCAATCATCTAATAAATGAAGCCATCTACAAGTTCCAAAAACAAACAGAGAGAAAAAAGAAGCTCAAAATAGCAAACACATAACCCAGTCTTGTTTAAACCGAAACACACAAGTAGCCAACACAAACAATGGTATTATACAAAATTTAAACAAATGTTGGCAATGAACAATCAAAACCCTACGAGTATCCCGTACCTAACTATCTTCTCAAATCAAAATAAGTTAAAAGATATGTGCTTTATACACCAAAACATAACCAAAGTCACAATAAAGAGGGATTAAATAAGTACTTAATAACTTCGAGCCTTCATTTAGGAGTCTTTTTAGTTTGTTTAGAGAGTTGTACTGACATCAGTACAACATGTACAGATCATAGCATTCTAATTTACCCAAGAGTATGAAAATTAAAACGGGTCCAAATGAAAATGAATGAATATTGAGGATTCATATTATAGAATCCTTGAGGAATAGTAGCTGCTTTTTGCTCATAAATTAGTTACTATAAACCATTCGAGATTATATCACAAACAATAAAAAGGGAAAAAACTAAATCATACCCCCATCTTAAAGCAGATAACGATATGGAAAAAAACAATCTTTAACACAGATAAGAGCATAGAAAGAACAAAAATACAATAAAAAGGGAAAGTACCAGAAATGTTTTGAGAACTGAGAGTGGTATCAACTCTAGCTGATGAACCTAAACAATTACCCATCAGACAACAATCTGAAAAAATATACAGACCAAAAACAAGTCTGAAAAAAATCAGACTTTCCTTAAATACTTCGAATATCAAGAAATATAGGTCGATATGTTTCAATGGAAGAAAAAAAAAAGGAAAAAATAAAAAAAAAAAGGAAAGGGGTAATAGTTGGTAAATGGGAAAGCTAGACGAAAATTTGATTCTATATAAAGGAAGAGAATGTGAAGACACAGAGAAATGCTGGATTACTTTCCTATTTTTTATTGTTCTTTTGATGATAAAGATAATGTTCTGGACGACTTGTACCTATCTCCACTAACACAATGTAAAAGGTAAAATTTTATTATGTTTTAACCAGTAGTATGAATATTAAATAGTAAACATTTTCATATGTACTCCTATTTCTAAATTATATTCCTAATCAAAACATATTTTCACCTTAATATATATATCTTAATAATAATAAATTAGAATAAGTAATTTATGCAAATACTATAAATATTAAAAATTTACCTAGCTTAAGTGTGCTTGTGTATTACTATAGATATTAGTAATTTTATTTTCTTTTAGTACAAATATTTAATTAATCTTGTATTGAGTGTTCTAACAAAATTTCAAAATAAGAAAAAAAAATGAGATGTCCATAAGTTGTAGAGATATTATGGAAAAAGTACTTTTTAACTTAAAATTTGATTATTTGAAAAACCCAAAATATTAATAAAAGTAGGCCACAAGTAATTGCCTCAATCGAAAAATAGCTAGGCAATTGAAGTAAATATGCAATAAGACGATAAATGAAAAAGGAAAAGGGATGCTTATTATTTGGTGAATTGATAGAAGCTTGATCATCTACAGCGTGATTGATCAAGTACGAGTTTGATAAAAAAAAAGAATAATATTGTTACGTCCCGCAATATTACGTCAATATTACGTCTTGCACTATTATATTACGACGATGCTATGCTCTGTAGTAATATGTTACGATGGTGTACCCTCTACAGTAATATATTATGATTGATGTTACGTCCTGCAGTATTAAGTTACGACAGTGTTGTACCCGACAATATTACATTACGTTGATATTACGCATCGCAGTAATAAGTTACGACGATGTTTCATCGTGCAGTATTTTATGTGGAATTTATCGTAAGGTAATTGATATCAGTTCAAGGAAAAGATTATTTGGAGATTATAAGGATTATGCTATTTCACAAGTGATTAGTAAATTCATAAAGGTGAAAGGGGGAGCAAGTCTAAGAAAACGAATTTTGTCAAACTTTGGCATTTTGGGATAAAATACGGCCCGAGCTAAAATACCCGATATTTATATACTAATGTCATACAAGGTACTACAGGGCCATGATAATAAGGTGTATAAGGTATATAAAAAGTGAGTAATATATTAAGTAATTTAAAATAATTCTTAATTATACGGGTAATTAGTTAATTACCAGGTAGCGGGATATTACCTAATTAATTAATTAACTATAGGATAAGATTAAAATTCTCACCCCACCCCCACGTGGCATCAAACCACTATTCAAAGAGATGACTCTTAAGTCATATTTGATTAGGTGGCAAAAAATAAGGTATTAATTACTAAACTCCTTATGCTTTCCTTAAAAGCCTCATGTTCCACTTCCGTATATCAATTGTGATAGTTGTGTCATAGTATCAGCCATTAGTCATTGAATCTAAATTGAGTTATCAAAGTGGTGTGATTTAAATTCGACGGTGGAAGAGAAACATATGCACCTAGAAGTTCATTCCGATATTTCTACTCTCCCAGAGATGAGCCCCATCCGGAGAACGTGGCTTTCTCATGGTTAATTTCTGTTGAAGGCTACTAGCTTTGGACCTTTTACCTTTGGAAAATACATTTTCGATTTGTGATGTAACAAGTAAGGATATTTTCTTCAACAAATGAGATTTTTAGCACATTAGCAACGTAAAATTTTACGGTTCTAAAGGAATACGGTGCAATCTTTTTCAAGAATATTATACGGAGTTTTCTCTATTTTAGGTATGTTAATGTCCTCCCTTCTTTCTTTTGGCATGGTCTAAATTATACTAAAGAAACGAGCAAATACGCAGTTTTCTATAAAATTACTCTATTCATAGAAATAGTCGGGCTGTCTATATTCTTGATTCCCCATGAGAGTTATTATTATCTTTTGTTCATGGGTTTCAGAATAATACGCAGTTGGAAAAGTTTATCCGGAAAGAATAACGAGATTATTATATATTTTTCATGCATTTCACTCATTTATACATGATCATTGACCCATCACCAAATGATGTTATATACGCGTATATATATAAATATATGTATATGAAATATGGAAAAAGGTTACGGCGTTATATACGCATCACCACCTGATCAGCTGGTATATGATAATGATGTTGCCCAAAGTGGCTGAAATATGATTCAAATGACATTACATATTCGGTACATTATTCGTACTGACGTCTCTTTTGCTTGGGGACGCGTGTGTTTCATGCCCGCAGGTCCCGATAGACAGGTCGAGAGCCCTCCAAGTAGGCTATCAGCTCAGCGGAAGATGTTGGTGCGCTCCATTTGCTTCGGAGTTACTTGTTTGGTTAGTATGATTTAGACATGTATTGTTTGCTATGGCGGGACTCTATCCCGACCTTTATAACATTTATGTACTCTTAGAGTCTTGTAGACATATGTCGTGTACGTGAAAGATTGTACGGTCTTGTCGGCTTATGTTTTGAGTTTATAAATGATTGTGTTGGCCTATTAAGCCCGTATGTCATATGTATATGATAATGTAATAAAAAAGATACGTTACGTTGGTACTCGGTTGAGTAAGGTATCGGGTGCCTGACAAATATTACAGTATATAAAAAGTGTATTGGGACATGTTTAATAAAATAAATTAATATCAAATTGATAATTCGTTATTATGCCGCAAAAATTTACAAGTCAATACCGTGTTTGCTAGTGGTATGGATTCTGGAGATGCACACAAGGAAGTTAAATTTATAATAATCTTTTTTTTTTTTAATTATAAAAAAATCATGGTCTTTATTGAAATTAAGTCCAGAAAACTACAAACTCATGTCCATGATGATAAAGTGTGGGTCACTACACTAATTACGTACATTGCCCCTACCGTCTGAACCTGTTAATCCATAATATCTCCTAACTACTTCTTGAAAAGACTCAAATACCCCTGCTCTTTACGCTTCAAAATGACCTTTTCTCTGTACTTCCAAAAATGCCTTTTTAATCCGTTGTCAAACGTGCGTTTATTACCTGATACCAGTGGGGAGTCAGATTTCAAAGGTTTGGGGTTCTAACCATTTTAAGTTACTGAGTTCTAAATTAATAATTTATACATATTTAGTAAATTTTTTAAGATAAATACAGAGTTTAAACCAAAGCTAGTGGGTTCCGCCGAACCCGACAGCATTCTAGCTCCGCCCCTGCCTGATACAGTATCTTTCAAAAAGTTTCCCATTATTGAATGTGATTCTGAAACACATGGGTGATAATTAAGGAAAAAACACAAAAAGTTTCACAGTGAATGTAAATGGATCATGCCATGGCTACGGGGACTAAGGCAAGGGAATCCCATATTCCCTGTAGTTTGTCCTAGTTATGAAATATCTGTCTAGAACTCTTAAAAGTATGAGTGACTTACCAGACTTCAAATATCATCCTATGTGTAAGCAACTCAAATTAACTCACTTGATTTTTGCCGGCAACTTAATGATTTTCTGCAAGGGGAATGCAGGATCGTGAAAAAGGTAATGGAAGCCTTGACCCATTTCAACAAAGTCTCTGGTTTAGTTGCCAACATAGGAAAATCCAACATCTTTATGGCTGGAGTTGAAGACCAACTAAAGGAGCAACTACTTGCAATAACAGGCTTTTCTCAGGGGACTTTTCCTATTAAATACCTTTAATGGAGTGTTATCAGTTGATAGAAAAGATTACTAGTCGAATAAACTATACACACTCCAAGCAAGCTATCATATGCTGGAAGACTTCAGGTGACCAATGCAATTTTATTCTCAATCCGCAGCTTCTGGGGTCTATCTTTATACTCAGGGGCGTATCTAAGGGATGAGAGTGGGTTCACGTGCACCCATATTCTTATTTCTGAATCATGTATAATAATATTATATAATTTTAAAATATTATAAATATATATATATGTACACCCAAGCTCAAAAACTCATGGGGTGTAATGGTTAATGGGTGCACCAAAGTGAGGTTAAGAATTTAATTTTCTTGTCCATCTTGCCTTTTGATTAAGTTTTGTTTTTCTTTGTTTTCTTTTTTTATTTGATTCTTTTTTAAAATTCCGACATCTATTGTAATTCATGTTCTCCTTCTGTAATAATAAAATTTTATATAATTAAACGAAATATTTTATACTAAAGCTAGTAGAACTTGAGGATGTACTATAGAGCCAATAAACGGGTTCAACTAACAAATTTTTGATACGTAGTATAGATATAATTTAGAAAAATCACGAAAATTCAGTTGGCTCAAGAAGTATGGAGGTTTAAACATTAAAGGATGTAAAAGTTGGAACATAGCATCGGTTGGAAAGCTATTATGGCAATTAGTGGAGAATAAAGCTTCACTTTGGATAAAATGGGTTCATGGCATATATGTGAAAAGTGACTTAAATATATGGACACACAAAACTCCACACGACTGCAGCTGGTATTGGAAAAAACTCAACTCTTTGAAAGAAGACATGAGGGAATGGTATGAACAGAGGAGATACAAGCTTACTCTATCACAAGTAGTATAAATTTGTAGGCTCTGTAAAGTATTATTCAGTCAGTGTAGGCTGCTTAAGGCAATTATAGGCAAGGCAAACATGCACAACAGAAGATTCCATTTACTCATGATCCACTTGATTTAATACTTTATCTTATTGAAAAGAAAACTTTAGAAAGCAATTGGAGTGAAAACGTAAGTCAGAATTGAGTTAAACTAAAGTCCAGAAATGTTTGGTTGTCACAAAATAATAATGAATGTTGTGCTACTTTTTATATACCCACTGATTTAGAATCTTAATTAGATACCGCTACCTAATTAAATATATATTCTTTTTTATCACTATGTTCTTGACCTTTTTAAAAGCTAAAATCCTTTCTTCAATAACATTCTCTTACGTTAAAAATAAGGTAGTTGACTAACACTAATGTCCAGAAGTGCCTGAACCTGACCTAGTGATTATGTTAATTTAT